AATAAAGTTTGTGAGGACGTTCTGCAGGACCAGAGCTGCTGGATGTAAATATTAAAACGTATTTACTGAACATGATCCGACTCTGTGGCGTCCAATAATCCTCCTCCAGGCTGGTTCTGTTATATAAGTCAGTGTCTGCTGCAGCGTTCTGTCGCTTCACGTCACACAGAAACTCTGCCGACTAATCAAACCCACGTTAACTCCCGACAAACCGAGAAAACACCTGAACTCAGCGACCTGTCGGCGGCTGGGAAACAGGAAGTGAATTTTGACTTATCAGAGAGATTATTCAGAGAAGGCTGGTGTCTGTTTTAAGGTTTGCTTTGTGGTTGTAGAGCTTCTTGTAACTCTGCTTTTTTAAGGAGCCGCAGAAATACAGTTTATTATTATTATTACAGATTAGAAATGTCATCATAAAGAAAGAAGAAGCCTCTGAGCTCAGACGGAAGCCAGAGGAAGCCTTTATTCTGAGTACAATAGTTTAAATATACAGTTTGCTGTGGACTCTGCTTCAGAGCAGAACACTCGGGAGTCGACTGTTTTCAGAGCATTGACGTGTCGAACGCTTTCTGTTCAGTCCTCTGTCAGATCGATAGTTTCAGCCCAGAGGCCGCGTCAATACTTTCATCAGCGGTGACCTTCTTTGAGCAGCACATGGCCGCTGCATAAAGCCACAAAGCCTGACCGGTTATGTGGTGGATATCACCGCCAGAGCTTCCTGTCAGGTTTCCTGTACGGACGGACAGACAGCAGCACAAAGTGGCTGTAAACGACCTCCAGTGGATCAACTGAACACAACCATGTAGGATGATGACGTGTGTTGGACAGCTGGTATCTCTGCCCTGTAATGTTTCATCATTAGTGATGCATGCTTTAGTCAGTTTATAAGATCCTACCATGAGTCCTTTTTGATAATAAATGTAGAAGTACTTTAGGATGCTAATATCATGCTGTTAAACTTTTGCTCTTTGTTTTGAAACTTTTCCACTTTCTTACTGTTGCATGATTTTCGTTAATCTATGAAAAAATAATGTTGTTTAGCATGTTTAGAAAACAACTGTTGAGCAGTTTATGAATGTTTTACAGTTTTGTTGAATTAAAGATATTAAACTAGCAAAAATATATGTATTCATGTGTTCATTTGATTGTTACCTGTGAAAAAAACGGGTTAAAAAATGTAAATAATGTGAATAATGTCCACATCGGAATCTATATATTTACACGTAATAATTTGTCCTTTAATAACGTTTGTTTGCTGTATTTAAATCATTAATAACTAGGATTATATTACAGATATGTCATGTTATTTTTCAAACTAAATTATGCGTATTGAGGTTTTAAAAAAATGTACTTCTATTTTACAGCTTTTTGTTGTTTTGTTAATTACTTGCGTCGAGTAAAAATCACATAAAAACGTACGAGTTTACAGGTTTGTTGTTAAAAACAAAAGGTTAAAAACTGCAGAACAAACGTCTACATCAACACATTAATATATATATAAATGTAGTTATTTTACAATATTTTGTCATTTTTTAAGGTATTTTTGCTCGTTTCCTTGTTGTCAGATTTTCCGTTTTTTTTTTTTTTTTACACTCTGCACTGTAATGAAAAAATTATATTTCTGCAGAATTTTTCCTTATTTTACATTTTTTTTCCTCATTTTTTAAATACACAGAATTATAAATAAACTACAAAGAAAATAAAATTAATTTACATGTCAAATGTTTTATTGTAAAAACGTAGATACCAGACACTAAAATTAACAGTTTATCACATATTTACATCTCATATAATTGCAATTATTTGTTTAATAACTGTTTTACATTTTTTGTAAGAGTAAACCCAGAAATTTTAAAGCTTAATTTACTTTTTCAAACATTAAATATTCTATATAGATGCTATGTTTGTTGTGAAACCTCATCATCTGTAATTAACAGCAGATTCTTGCATTTTGAAACTGAATTCCTAGTTTAATACCAGTGTGTAACCAGTGATTGTAGTATGACGGTCCTGTGTACGGCTTTATTAAATATACTAAAGTTACCGTAGATACAGAATCACTGGAGGTTTTTCAGATTTGGTTCATTTTATAAATAATGATCTTAATGAATGAATGAATCGAGGCTCAGTGAAGAGTTTCTAATAAGTTTCTGGACATCAGTGGAGGATTCCTCCGACCAGCAGGGGGCAGTGACGCTCCACAGGAACAGGAAGCCTTCAGATTTAACGTCACATTTTTCTCCGATGTCAGTTTAACAAATTTCACACTTAAAGCAAGAGTTTGTAGTTTAGACTTTATGGATTTTTTTTTCTGTGACCTGCAGTCAAAAACGCCAACATTCACATTTCAGAGGCGAGTTGCGGATAATATTTTAGATTTTTAAATTTTTACAAACAACTGAAATCCTGCTGCTCCCTCCTCCCACATCTGAGAAGATATTTTATTTAATTTGTGATTTTAAAAACGAATAATCAGATTTCAGTTTGTGAGGTCTGTGGTGAGCCTTTAGGACTCGGTGTGAGACAAACTCGGTGACGTCGAAGCCTCTTTCTAAACGAAGCGTCGTCACGTCTCAGCGACCGGCTCAGTGGTTCTGTGACCTCGGTGTGATTCCACCATTTGGCTCCCTGCAGGACGTCACTACGGGTTCTGCTCACTGGGCACGACGGTTGGCATTCAGACGTGACCTCAGTCTGCACGTTCTGCACGGCTCCGTTAAAATCAGAGGGTCAGCAGATTACAGTTAACACCTTGTTGGAATATCAGACAGAAAATAATTTGTTTCCTGAACAAACCAACTGAAATATGAAGGAAACCAGTGACCCGGCCACA